TCGCAGCAGATGGCCCCGCCCCTCCCTGAGCCTGGTTCTGCCAGAGGTTTCTTCCTGTTAAAAGGGAGTTTTTCCTCCCCACTGTCGCCAAAGTGCTTGCTCATAGGGGGTCATGTGATTGTCGGGTTTTTCTCTCCATGTATTATTGTGGGGTCTACCTTACAATATAAAGCACCTTGAGGCTACGATGTTGTGATTTGGCGCTATATAAATAAAACTGAATTTAATTGAGTCTGCAGGGACAGTCTGCCTTGGGATGTCGTTTGCAATGTTCTTGTCAACCTACTTGACATCATCTCCGTAGTGGATCTCCATGTCGTCTGTCAGAAGTGAACAGGAATATCCGATGTTCTCTGCAGTTTCTGGGGATAAATTATGAAGATTAAAACACAAGTTCAGATTCAATTCATCCAAATTGTTACTTTAACCAGCTCAGGCATGTCGCTGTTATTCATGTGATACAGGTGTTTTATTTCTTGTGCACTTTGGGGTGATGGTACCTTTCTTATCTCCAGTCAGGACCCAGATCTTGATGTCTGCTTTAGCCAGCTTGGCAATGGTTTCTGGAACTCCATCCTGTAGTTTATCCTCAATAGCCGTTGCTCCAATTAGCTAAATGCAAGAGAACTCATTACTAGCTGTAACGGGAGCTTCTTGTTTTAAAATCCGATAGATTTTTAGCAGAAGAGATTTTTTAATTAAAACATTCAAATGAATTCTACATGTATATAGAAACTAAAGCGTAGTCATTTCCCACTCACCATCAGGTTGTTCTCGATCTGCTCATACACAGCATCCAGGGCAGCTTCGCGGTCATTCATGGTCACCTGGGCCTCTTTGTGTCTCCTGGACCAGGCTTCGAACTCTTCAGCGCTGATGTCTTTGTAACACAAGCACAGTGTCCGCAAGGTCTCGTTGGCAAAGACCTGATAACATGAAAATGTTGACTTTGCTTACTCCTGAGAGAAAAAGACAGCATCTGGCATGCTGCAAATGAGATTAAACAATAGCTCACATCAAGAGCAGTCTGGGTGGTTTCCTTATGTTTGGAGCTGGGGGAGAGACGCTCGTAAATGACAGTGTCTGCTCCTTTACAGTAGAGACGAATACGGCCATCGGGAAACTTCACTAAAAAGACAGTACATAGAAAGATCAGTGGTAATTAGACAGAAGTCTCAGTGAGGTAAAAAGTCAAAAGTAGCAGGTCCAATCTGTCCAGTCTAAATGGCTTTGATAATATTGCTCTTATTTGTTTTAGTTATTTCTATAAAAAGACCGTAGTCATAGTGACGTTTGGAAACCTTTTATGAAATTTGTAATTTTTGCCAGTTTGCAAAAAACAAAAACAAACAAACAAACAAACAAACAAACAAACCCTGTTTTATTTTCTATTTCACTTTAAATTAAAAATAAGAATTTAGAGAAATAAAACTATGAATGAAACTATTGACTGAGACCATAAAGTCATCGGGAACCTGTTTGTTGAAATCAAAGATATAAGTAGGGTCATTTCCTTTAGATTTCTAAATGACCGCACTTCTTTTTGCATCCAGAGGTGCTGCCCCCTGCTGACAACTAGAAAGAAGGCAGGTGTAAGTCACAGGTTTCACTTTTTAGGCCCTGAAGCAATATGCCCATTTATATACAATCTATATTCCTTACACTATAAAAGGATGGCATGTGGTGCGACGGTTTTAGCACGATCTGGATCCACGTCCTGGTCATGCAGCATCCACACATATTGAAATTACAGAATATGTTTAGGATTAACTACGTATGCATTTATATTAAAGATTGTCCAAAACAAGTAAAACTGTTCAAATACTTTTGAGTTCTGTGCCAGTTGTGTATTTTGAGTAGAAACATAATAAAATCCTTCCATGATTTAGTGAAGACTTGATTTATTC